GGGGGCGCCTGGGGTAGTGTCTGTGGCTTCCCGGCACCCTCTGTGCTGGTGGGCCGGCATCATCGAAGGCCTCCTACGCGCCTTGGCCGGCGGACCTGCCAGCTGCGAAGTGGGATATGGCCCTTTATAAAAAAAGTTTGCTGACCCTTGTTCCAGACTATCAACTCAAAACCTTTACAATTCCATGTATGGCTATTATCATAAAGTAACTGAGATCACCTGCAGAATCATTTTAGTCTGATCAAACCTCAGGAAACAGAAAATAGGTTTCATTCACATGTTATGTCAGTCCATCTAGCTTAAAGCATTTGATTAAGAACTGGCAAACTACTGAATGCTTCTTATGTCCAGAGGAAAATTAGCATAAATTTAACATATTAGCACTGCCTTTAAAAATATCCATCAGTATATGCCATATTTCAATACTTTAAGTTAGATAAACTAGAAACTAGTTTATCTAACTTAAAGTATGATAATTAATGAGCTATTTGGTCCTCCCTTCTAAAGAAAGGGAAAACAATGAGATTCCTCACCACATTCTCGCATTAAGAAAATGAAGCATGTTTACTCTTTCATTTCTCCCGCTAGCTGGAGAATGAGAGAGAAAATATAGCTATGGCTTATTGATCAACTTGAGCTTTTTATTACTCAGCTGAAGTGATAGCTAAGTTTTAGATCCATATTTGTCTCTCCGGCCTTCTCCATCCCTCTTCTAACCCTCTAAAGACCATTTCTTCTATATTCTATATTCCATATTTGTCTCTCCGGCCTTCTCCATCCCGCTTCTAACCCTCTAAAGACCATTTCTTCTAGTTAAATACTGTTAACAAAATCCAGCTAACATACAAAGTCAGGTTAGATATAAGGAAAGGTTCTTATATGAAAACAACCATTTAAAAATGTTTCTATCATAGGTTTGCTTTCAATGTACTGGGCACGAACTCCATATTCCAATGCTGCAAATGTAAAATATCAGTCTAAAAAGTGGTCTCACACAACATATGTATCAGCACTGCCAAAATTTTCATAAATTGATTCAAGTGGTCTAGAACATTATAAAGATTAAAACCATGGCTGCAATCTACAACACAATCCTTGTTTAATATGATGATAACCTATTTGGAATTAACCTAAGCTTTCTGCGCTTGAGAGTTCCCCTTCTTCATCTACGAACAGCATTTAAAACCATTAATTCAGAAATTAAAGTTAATGTAGAAAGACTAGATCTGCATTAAAGTACATCATAGGGTAATTTGTCAGGTCTTGCGCCAAGTAAACAAGCATTAGGACAAAGCATAACATTGCCAGATTCAGAAGTGCACTTCATACAGTAAGATATGTAAGATAAATATGTAAACAGATGCAAGGAAAAAGTCTCATTTTTTTCTTTCTCTGAAGCAGACACTAGTATTCCCAGTCTGCAAAGTGTGGCTTATTCAATGCTCTTCCCAAAAAATTAAAGTTTCTTTTTTTTTAAAAAGCAACTCTAGTTGCAACAGCAAGCAAAGCATCTTAGAAGACTATCTATATAGTGAATATAAGATTCTAGTTAAGCATTAAAATAGAATGCAAGTACACCAAAATGTAAACATACAACACCCTACATTTCACTGTCTTATATCCTAGGACAGCAAACTGAAAATGAAACATATAAAACCTACTCTGCTTTTGTAAGATATAAGCTGAATGCTAAATTGTACATGGGGTTCTAGGGAAAATATACTGTGTAGTGTTCTTAAGTTTACAAGAACCTGAAAATAGTGTGCCAACCAAAAATATTGTATTACAGTACTATCTAATTAGGGAAGCAGGTAAAGAAATCCCTTCTTTGTTATTTCATATAACAATAATGTTCTTATGTCAACCACCTGCACTGATTGTTCTGTTTTTTAAAAAGAAAGACAATAAAATTATAGCCCAATCATATAAGAAACGACTGTAATCACTGAGTAATTTTCATACTACAAAATCTCTTTCAAAGTGTAAAACAGTCTTTTAAGAAAAGCCAAAAACAAATATATAAGAAGATAGAGCACAACTGGCTGCAGGCAGAGGTACAAAAAAATTACTGTATCTATTAGCAGAATACCTCAAGACAAATGCATACTCTGTGATTAAACATTAAGTCTTGCTATGAAACCATAAAAGCCATGAAAATACTTCTACAGAAATCAAAAGTCCATAAAAATTAATGGACTGCCTGCCTAACGTATTAGTTATCTGTGGAACATGGATGGCCTCAAAGAAGAGGAAGAAATTCTTCATATCACAGTACTGTCAATTGGACTCTTGGAAGAATTGGTCTCCAAAGGGGAATACATATTTATAACTTTAAGGATAGACCATTCTGTAGCTTAGCTGTAAGCTGAATGGATTTCATTATTTCACTAATCTCAGCTTTCTCAGTACCTAAAAAAATAGTTTCAGTGTGTGGAATTTTACACACAGAGTAGCACCTGACAGAGGGCACAACTAAATAGCTACATTCAAGTGCTTTGCTTCAGGCTATGAGCCAGCAGGAAAGTATGTCAGCATACTGTACACTGCCCTCACTGCCGATCCCTCTTGTGGCTCTGCAAAAACCAGGGTATCCAGCCTCATTCGCAGCTCAAGCCATAATGGCCATCATCGAGGGAGAGTGGGCAAGGTTGCAGCAGCATTAAATGGCTAGTAGGAGTTGGCCAGATCCCAGCCCCTGACTGAGTCATCAACCATATCACTGATGATGAAGTGTGCTAGACTGTGTCCCCAGCAAAAAGTGTGCAGAGGAGGAAAAAAAAAAATTAAAACTGGAACAATGAACGACAACCTTAAACCTTAGCTGTGTGCTGGGAATGAGACAAAAGCAATGCCATTAGGACATGTCACATAAACAAGTTATTACAGTATGTTCATGTAACAGTCAGAGCAACCTGGGGATGAGCCCACATAATCTTACAGATCCTAAACTTAATACATGCCATTGTTTTAAAGTTTTTATATTTGCATAAATATTTGAACACATGAATGCTGTTTGCTAATCTATTTTAAATTCTGGCTCTAAAAACATGGAACTTCTGTGATTTTCATTATTCACTAACAGACTATTTTCCTCTACTCAAACATTCACACTGTTGGAACATCACTTCTACTATCTTCCCACTATGCTGCCAAAAAATAAAACCCCAATTCTTCAAGAAATTGAAGTCTCTCATTCAGAACAAAGCACAGAATTAGTTAATACAGTACAAAACTTTAATTTAATTGGGAAAAGAGCCTACATTTTTTTTGGTGCGGGCCTCCCTGTTTTAATGTAAAACAATCTACAAAGGGTATATGTAGGTGTCATGGCTTCAAAAATATTTCAGGTCTATATTAAGCTACATCTATTATTTACATAGAAATACTTTAATGAGGGACAAAATACCAGGAATTGTCTTCAAAAGGAGGGGGATTGCCAGGAGGGGGGGGG